CAACATCTGTGCCCGACCTCACTAATGCTCTTGTGGCTGAATGGAAGCAAGTCCCCGCAGCAATGTTCCAACATCTAGTGCATAGCCTTTCCAGCAGAGTGGAGCCTGTTATAGCAGCAAAGGGGGGGACCAAGTACATATTAATACCCATGATTTTGGAATGAGATGTTCGACGAGCAGGTGTCCACATACTTTTGGTCATGTAGTGTATATACAGGTTCAGTTCCAATACCATATTTATAATGTGCAGGGATACTGGAGTGATGGAGGTAGATATGTATAGGGGGAAGGTGACTAGGTATCAGGATATATGATAAACAGAGTAGTAGCAGTGTATATGATGATTGTATGTGAGTGTGTGTGTGTGTCTCTGTGTGTTGAGTCAGTATAAATGTGTATGGGTGTTATGTGTGTGAGCAAATTAATAGGGATTGGTGCTGGTGGTTGATTTGGGACTGGGGTGCAGAAGAACCTGACATCTCTGAAGACTGGCCACTATCACCGACAACGATGAGACAGCCTATAGGGAGGAGGTCAGAGATCTGGCCGTGTGGTGCCAGGACAACAACCTCTCCCTCAACGTGACCAAGACAAAGGAGATGATTGTGGACTACAGGAAAAAAAAGAGGACTGAGCACGCCCCCATTCTCATCGACGGGGCTGTAGTGGAACAGGTTGAGAGCTTCAAGTTCCTTGGTGTCCACATCACCAACGAACTATCATGGTCCAAACACACCAAGACAGTCGTGAAGAGGGCACGACAAAGCCTATTCCCCCTCAGGAGACTAAAAAGATTTGGCATGGGTCCTCAGATCCTCAAAAAATTCTACAGCTGCACCATCGAGAGCATCCTGACTGGTTGCATCACCGCCTGGTATGGCAACTGCTTGGCCTCTGACCGCAAGGCACTACAGAGGGTAGTGCGTACGGCCCAGTACATCACTGGGGCAAAGCTCCCTGCCATCCAGGACCTCTATACCAGGCGGTGTCAGAGGAAGGCCCTCAAAATTGTCAAAGACTCCAGCCACCCTAGTCATAGACTGTTCTCTCTGCTACCGCACAGCAAGCGGTACCGGAGTGCCAAGTCTAGGTCCAAAAGACTTCTCAACAGCTTCTACCCCCAAGCCATAAGACTCCTGAACAGCTAATCATGGCTACCCGGACTATTTGCACTGCCCCCCCACCCCATCCTTTTTACGCTGCTGCTACTCTGTTAAGTATTTATGCATAGTCACTTTAACTCTACCCACATGTACATATTACCTCAACTACCTCAACTAGCCGGTGCCCCCTCACATTGACTCTGCAACGGTACCCCCCTGTATATATAGCCTCCCTACTGTCACTTTATTTTACTGTATATATAGCCTCCCTACTGTCACTTTATTTTACTTCTGCTCTTTTTTTCTCAACACTTTTTTTGTTGTTGTTTTATTCTTACTTTTTTTGTTTAAAATAAATGCACTGTTGGTTAAGGGCTGTAAGTAAGCATTTCACTGCAATGTCTGCACCTGTTGTATTCGGCGCATGTGACCAATAAAATTTGATTTGATTTGATTTGATTTATTTCCTGTAGGTATAGTTTACAAAGTCATGCTGTGTGAGGGAGGGCAGGGGTTAAAGTTTACAGCTGTCCCATATACACACAGATACACCAATGAGTACAGGAGAGCCCACCTAAGAAACTAGCCTTGGACTATCCAGTGGGTGGACAGAGGGGGAGGTGAAAGGTCAGGGTTCATGACCCCTGGGGACTGGGGTTAAAAGGGGTGTCAGTGGTAGTATGGGACATGGGTGCAAGGTGCTGCATTAAGATGCATTTATTTTTACCTCACTGTGTGTGTGTGTGTGTGTGTGTGTGTGTGTGTGTGTGTGTGTGTGTGCATGCAGGCGTGTGTAAGTAAGCATTTCAGTGTTAGTCTACATCTGTTGTTTACAAAGCATGTGACTAATAACATTTGATTTGTGTGTTTGTGGGTCTAAGTGTGTGCGACCAGTGTGTGTGTTGGGGACAGGCGCATGGCTGGCAGGTGCCCAAAGCCAAACGGTGGATATATCGGCTCATGGTCACATCACACACACACATCCACCCAGACATCGGTTCCCACTACCTCTATTTATACTGGGCCACACGACAGAGTGTGACTGACCACACACACACACACACACACACACATATACGTAGACACACACACACAAACACACATACACGTAGACACACACATACACACAGCTCTTATCTTTCTGACCCATTTTCTCCTCACCTATCTCTAACAGTGAAAGCATGTGAATAACGTCTCTGTCTGAAGCCTGAAGTCTTAGTACCTCAGTGTGACTAACTGAGTGTGACTGACTGTACAATATTAACAACCCAGACAGAAACTGAAGGTCAAACCACAACCTTCTCACTTTGTTTTAGGCAGTAGGTCCAAGTTGCCTCTTGAACCTGATCTCAGGTCAGTTTTGTGTTATCTCCCTAACGATTATGGCTATAGGATTTGGGGAGGGTTGGTTGATCTTAGATCTGTGCCTAAGGGCACATTGATTTAACCCAGAGACGGGAAGTGATTAGTTTAGGGGTCAGAGTTCAGACTGTCGAACATGGCTCTGAGTGATAAACCTGAGTGCTAACTTTATTGTAGCCTTAGCGGTGTATCAGGGATACAGCTATTTTCAACCTAGCTTATTTTACGCTGAAAACCTGATGTGGGAACTCCGTTCAGGCGTTTCTCTTACGCCTGCTACGTTAGGTTAACTTTATTGTGACTGCTGCCGGTCTGCCATCAAATTGGTTCCCAAACGTTTACTCACTGTCTGTGACCCAGGAAAAGTCTTACAGGAGCATTTTCAGATTTCTGTCAACTAACTAGTTTAATTGTGATGCAAAGGGAAACGTTGATGGCACACAAGTGGGTTCCTGGCCCACCACCAACCACTATTACTGTCGAATAGTCATGCAAGTAGATGACCTGAACATGGAAGCAAAGCGCCATCTAGGGTTTGTATTGTGAACAGGCGTGTTATGGAGAGTTTTTTTCCACCTGTGTTAACAGGCATATGCAGTTCAGCATACACACATGCGCGCACACACACACACACACACACACACACACAGACAGACGCAGCGTTACATCCTCCCACACACACAGGAAAAGGAGATGAGATGTGTGGAAGTGAGGGCTTCAGGTAAGTGTTGCTTTCAGCGTTTTTGCTCCCTGCATGCTATGGGTTGGCGCAGTGCCAAAACCACAGCCAAGAGGCCTCAGCGATGTAACAGGAAAACAAGAGATTACATGAGAGCTTTACTCAGAGGTGTGAGTACAGAGAATGACTCAAATGCACCATGATGTGAATGGAAACATTTTCAGAACTATTGTTATCATGTTGCAATTGTTAGCTATCAGACCTGGGTTCAAATACATGTGTATTTTGATGATTTATATTTCAAATACACATTTCCTGTGTATTTGAGTATTTTCTAATAATGTTGCCTGAATCAACTACTTCATTATTTGAAAGTATTTCTATTAATAGAATACTATTTTAAACAATTTTCTAATATTTATTTCTAAATAAATTATTTTCAATACCAAACAGACCCGGGGTTCAAATTAATGAGTATTTAAATATTTGTATTTCAAAATACATTTGTCTGTGTATTTGAGTATGTTCAAATACATGCCAATAATTTCTAAGTGTATTTCCAAATACATTCCAATATTCAACTATACTGAACAAAAATATAAAAGCAACATGCAACAATTTAGTTACATTTCATATAAGGAAAACAGTCAATTGAAATAAATTCATTAGGCCCTAATCTATGGATTTCACATGACTGGGAATACAGATATGCATCTGTTGGTCACAGTTGGTCACCTTAAAAAAAGGTAGGGGTGTGGATCAGAAAACCAGTCAGTATCTGGTGTGACCACCATTTGCCTCATGCAGCACGACACATCTCCTTCGCATAGAGTTGATCAGGTTGTTGATTGTGGCCTGTGGAATGTTGTCCCACTCCTATTCAATGGCAGTTGCTGGATATTGGTGGGAACTGGAACACGCTGTTGTAAATCCAGAGCAATCCAAACATGTTCAGTGGGTGACATGTCTGGTGAGTATGCAGGTCATGGAAGAACTGGGACATTTTCAGCTTCCAGGAATTGTGTACAGATCCTTGCGACATGGGGCCGTGCATTGTCATGCTGAAAGATGAGTTGATGGAGGCGGATGAATGGCACGGCAATGGTCCTCAGGATCTCATCTCGGTATCTCTGTGCATTCAAATTGCCATCGATAAAATGCAGTTGTGTTCGTTGTCTGTAGCTTATGCCTGCCCCTACCATAACCCCTCCGCCACCATGGGGCACTCTGTTCACAAAATGGACATCAGCAAACTGCTCGCCCACACGACGCCATACACGTGGTCTGCGGTTATGAGGCCAGTTGGATGTACTGCCAAATTCTTATGGTAGAGAAATTAACATTTAATTATCTGGCAACAGCTCTGGTGGACATTCCTGCAGTCAGCATGCCAATTGCACGCTCCCTCAAAACTTGAGACATCTATGGCATTGTGTTGTGACAAAACTGCACATTTTAGTGGCCTTTTATTGTCCCCAGCACAAGGTGCACATGTGTAAAGATCATGCTGTTTAATCATCTTATTGATATGCCTCATCTGTCAGGTGGATGGATTATCTTGGCATAGGATAAATGCTCATTAACAGTGATGTAAACACATTTGTGCACAATATTTGAGAGAAAAGCTTTTTTTTGCGTAAGGACAATTTCTGGGATCTTTTATTTCAGCTCATGAAACATGGGACCAACACTTTACATGTTGCGTTTATATTTTTGTTTAGTGTACTTGTATTTTCAAAGAAAATATCCATACGCTAACTTCAAAATGTATTTGAAAGTAAATTAAATACTCTAAATAGTATTTGACGGGAACCCAGGTCTGTCAGCTATTAATCATCGAAGATGCTATACATTGCCTCAGCACAGCTTCATCATTAGCTCTGTGGTCGGCAATAACATAATTGAGTCAATGACTATGTACCTGTAATTCTTTAGTTTTTATTGACAACCACACAGACATCAAGTTAAGGTCACAAATTCAAGAGGAGGTGGATAGATAGATAGGCTACAACCTATGGATGATTTTGCTAAGCACTCAACTCAACACATAAAAACAATGACACATAATTTTGAAAAGGCATTGGAAGAAAAACATTTAATTTATATAAAAATGAGTGTAAAAATAATCTATATTAATTTGTAGAATAGAACACTGGGTATTTTTTCCTTCCTTTTCTATTCTTTAGATAATAACATTTTCAACATGTAGACTGTTGGAACTCCTTTCCTTGGATCAAAAAGTATATAGGCTAAACCTGTTTTCCAGACTCATTGCCTGGGGGGGTGAGGGCCTTTCTTCCTGGGCTGGGGTAGCGGTGGGGGCTGCTCCTCATCGTCATCCATTGGTATCTGTGGAGGCCTCTCTCGAGCCTGGGCTCTGGGTTGGGGCGCTGCCTGGCTGGAGGCTCTGGCTGTGGGCCTGGGGCCAGTGGAACCAGGTGGGGCCCCACCGGGGGGTCTCTGCCTTTGCTTCTGGCCCTCTGGGTGAGAAGGATGCTTTGTCTGGCCCTCTGGGTGGAAAGGAGGCTGGGTCTTGGTCAGGGGGGCTAGTCTCAACTCTCGTTCCTCTGTGAAGGAGAATGAACAGATGAAATGAGGGAGGGAGGTACCCAAAAAAAGACAAGATACTGTAGATACCGTAAATGTTTCTGTTCACACAACACCAACACTATAGCCATAGATGTTTGACCTTTGGTCTGAAGCGATTACCTTCAAAGCGCATCTGGCTCTTGCGTCGGCTGAGGCAGCAGCACACCAAGGTGGTGATGATGAGGAGGAGTACCAAGCCCCCTCCCCCGGCCAGGATGCCCACCATGGTCCAGAAATCAAAACCAAACAGTAAACGAGGAACACCTGAGTCTGAGACAGCTGAGAGGAGGGTGGGGGATGAGGGGTGGAGCAGAGGAGAGAAAAACAAGATGTTTGACTTTACCTTTTTTTGTTATGAGGTGCGCCACCAATCTTAAATATTTGTTCCTTTCTTCCTGGAAACAGAAGAAGAAAAACAGAGAGAGAGAAAAAAACTGAGGGAAAGAGGAAGACGGAGAGATTCGCAAAGAGAATTGCAATTGAGCCCTTCAAACATACTATACCTTTGCATGTTGGTTTGATGACATCACTTGTCTCCTCGCTGACCTCGTTGGCTGCAGAGCAGGTGAAGGTGTCCGGCGCTTTCAGTGTTTTCCGATCGATGGTCAAGGTTGTCTTTGTTTCCCTATCTAGGGTCTTTGTGTTCCTGCTCCACTTTAAATTCACTCCCTCAGTGTTGGCCAAGGTACAGGTAAAGGTGACGTCCTTAGCAGAACAGGTGAATTTCACTGAGGGCTTGGAGACCTTTTCTGGAGAGAAACAAAATGGCAGTTGTCAGTGTCTCGAAAGGAGAGGATACAGTTCTTGTATTGTTGGAAAGAAAGAGTGAAAGAAAGAGACTTACCCATACACAGTCTGGAGGACTGCTCTTTGATGCTTTTCCCGTCGCTGTCGAACACCTCTGCTTTGTAAGTACCTTCGTCTTTCAACATCAGGCCTTTGAGCTGGAGAGACCCACCATCTACGATGTCCTCAGCCTTGCCTAGTATGAACTTTCCATTCCTTCTTTTAAATATAAGTTTTTCATTGTGTTTCCAGGTTAATTCTTTCGAACTCAAGTCAGTGTATTTAAGATGGATGGTGACGGAAGATCCATTTCGGAAAGAATATTCGCATGAATCTGTGATAGAAGAGAAGAAAATATATCAGAATAATTCTCTGTTGTTGCTGACGGTACCATACATTTATTGCATTTTGGGGTAAATAAAGAATTATCAAATGTGATTTAGTTCAATAATTATTATTGACATTTTTGGTTAAGCATTTATCTACATTTATCTACAATTATTACAGATTTTTTTTGTATGAGAAGTATGCTACATTTCAAAGTAAAATAAGTTAATTTCAAGTACAATTGTCCATTGTTCCTCATAATTTGTCAGTTAGGCCAACTACCTGGCAAATACGCTCTAAAACAGGCCCGTAAAATAAAGTGTCACAACTTCTACCAAGTGTTTTTAACTTGGATCAAATTCGAATAATGCTACTGTATGAAAAGATGTGTTCAACTGGTTGGGTTAGCCACAGTAACCCAGATTGTTCTATTACAGCTTCCTGTTCTTGTGTACTGGTTGTTTGAAACAGAACATGTCTAAAACCACAACTGTCTGAAAGGCCACAGATACTTTAACAACAGGACCTCTTCAAATCAAATGGCCTATCTGGGGACAATCTCATAGACACAGATGGTCAGATTAAGCCTTCTCCTTGAGTAAATAGGATGTTGGTCAAATGACAATTTTATACACATACATATCAACGATAATTGACATCAAAAAAATTACATTGACATGGAAAAAAACTTTTAAGTAAAGAAATAAGTATTGTACCACATAATGATCTTAAAATATCTAAATAGCATTTACAACATCCATACAAATCATTCTAATAATGAGATAAAATTGCGATATCAAATCATGGAAAGGAAGTTGTTAAAAAACAGATGACATTGTTACGTTAACAAGAGAACACCTAATCGAGGCACCACAGAAGAGAGACATTTTCAAACAAATTATTGTTGGCCAAGTCATTGTTCATTTTCTCCCTAACATTGCTCAAATCAATTGTGATCAAATTTACAGATTCAATAGCAATCCATTAATGTGACCATCAATGCTATTTAAAATCAATAGACGTCCTCTTCTCAAATAATTGATCTAACAATTACTAATCTTTTTTACTGTAAAAAAAAAACCCTGGACTAAACAAAACATCCTCAAAAACCAATCAACAGGTTTGGGGGGTTAGAGGGAGAGTGTCTTACCTGCTGAAAGAGAGATAAATCCATGAATGACAAGGAATGCCTGTAGTAATGTACAGGCCATTGTGTTGTTACTACATGTACTATGAGAAAAATGTACAGGATTCAGTTTAGTAGTCAGACTCTTCCTGGGTCTTAGTGTGTGTGTGTGTGTGTGTGTGTGTGTGTGTGTGTGTGTGTGTGTGTGTGTGTGTGTGTGTGTGTGTGTGTGTCTCAGAAGAGGAAATGATCCAACCAGCGGGCCCTGTATGTATCTACTCCCTCAGCAGTGTAGAGATGTCATATCTTAAAAAATAAGCTTCAAACAAACAAACAAACTCTTCATCTTCTCATCAGTATCAACACAGGCATTTTCTCAGGCACGTCCTAAACACAACCTTTTTTAACAAATGTTCTTATACAATTCATGTCAAAAAAGACATCTAGGCTACGTTTATTGTGTGGCATTAAATGCCACAAAACTCCATATTTGGACATTCTCATAAAAATAAAAGAAGAAGAAGAAGAATATTACTCATATAAAGTTTATTAATGATACTGGTTTCAGTTCAGCTTTTCCTATCTCAGCCCAACGCTACGCCGTCATACAAAACTGACCCTGGGTCTGTGCTTAGGCAAGCTCATACACTGTTGTCACTTACCAATTCCAAACTGAGCCCTATTACCTACTGGAGAGCCCATCTGAAAGGATTGGACAAATGAAAGCAATATGGCAGAATGTGTTGATACCACAGGAGGTTGGTGGCACCTTAATTGGGGAGGCCGGGCTCATGGTAATGGCTGGTGCGGAGCAGGTGGAATGGCATCAAATACATCAAACAACATGGCTTCCAGGTGTTTGATGACATTCCATTTGCTCCGTTCCAGACATTATTATGAGCAGTCCTCCCCTCAGCAGACTCCACTGGTTGATACCTTTTATTTTCCTCTATCTACCAGAAGTACCCAAGTATAGGTGATTGGTCTTGAATTGGAATAGGGCAAGCCAGTGAACAACAATTCTCATGAGCTGTAGAACTATACTGACATCTAGTGTTCAATAAAGGTAGTTGCATCACCTGCACTTTGGACATTCCAATTGCCTTTCCCCCCAAACTGTCAGTATTGTTGTATGTTTTTCCAATTTTAGTCAGTCCAAGAGAGAATTTACACCTTACCAGTATTCTTCATCATCATCATCATCAGCAGCAGCAACATCGCATTTGAATATAAATGTCCTTTCCTAGACCTCGGATGACTTCAGGAGGTCACGGTAGTCGACTACATTCCATGTGATCGTGCACACACACTACACATCCATAATAGTCCTCAAAAGAAAAGAAAGAAAGAAAAACACTTTCACTTTCATATGGATCGCATCTGCGGGCAATGGCTGATCAAGGAATACCAACTCCCAGTATAATAGGCCTAGTCACTATATTCGGTTGCATTTATGGCGGAGAATTCGTCAATGGTAAGTGAATGTATTTCCCCGTGCTAGTAGACTATTTATAATTGGAGTCGAGACACAATTAAAGAAAGCTGATATTTCATTCTAGTGAGTGTTTGGACGCGCGGATCCATGATCGACGCTCCTTCACTACTCCTGTCCTAGAAAAATCCCTTGATGGATTGTCCTTGGAATATATTTGGTATTGTTAGCCTTTTTCGATTACTTTTGCTTACGAATGTATTTTCTTTTGTTGAGATAAAAAGTTATTCAGAATACTTCAACTGAATGTAGACTAATTACTAGCCCAACTACAGTATATTCCCCACACCTTCTGTTACTAGCCTAGCTAGTTTACCCTACCGTCTATTTCCCACACCTTCTGTTACTAGCCTAGCTAGAGTTTACCCTACCGTCTATTTCCCACACCTTCTGTTACTAGCCTAGGTAGAGTTTACCCTACCGTCTATTCCCCACACCTTCTGTTACTAGCCTAAGTAGAGTTTACCCTACCGTCTATTCCCCACACCTTCTGTTACTAGCCTAGCTAGAGTTGACCGAAACCGTCTATAACCCCACACCTTCTGTTTCTCCACCCTAAAATATTTTGTGTTTCTTTTACCGCATTTTGTGTCATGTGTTGCTTTGGGGGCCTTTGTGCACTGTCTAGAAAATAAACTAGGGGAAAGACTGTTCTGTTACAGGGTAATAACATTGTAACTTACAATTACTCAGCACATTATTATACCGTATGAGGACGATGTGACTATGTCATGTTAACTGTGGTGTAATTCTGTTCTCATCCCATAGCAGCTGGACCTTCCACCACCCGTTATGTTATCACAAACAGCAATGTCATTATCAATCCTGGGATCCATGGTGGAGTTTTACAGGAGATCCTCTGGAAACATGGTGAAAATAAGGCGGTGGAATGGGGCACTGCTGTGATAACGACATTTCGGGAATTTAAAGGGAAGACATCCTTGAACACCACCACTGGAGAAATCACAATCAGACAGCTGACCAAGCAGCTCAGTGGGGTGTATGAGGCAGAGTGTCTTATTAGTGGGAAAATACAGACATTTCAGCAGAGAGTGGAAGTGATTGGTGAGTCAGGGTTTCCTAAATAATGCACTGGCTTGTTGTAGTATGATAAGTACTGTTGAACAGCTGCTCACTTTTGAAATACATTTTGTTTCTGGTTTGTTTTTATTTAATTTCTCAAACATAAACTAAACCTATGCCGCGCTCTCCAAAAATCCCCATGATAAGAATGCCAGGGTGATAGCAATCACGTCAGATAACCTGGCCTAGAACCAACCATACGGGTTTGTAGAGAGAGAGAGAGAGAGAGAGAGAGAGAGAGAGAGAGAGATCTTTATTCTTTTGGAACTTTTATGAGTGTAATGTTTACTGTTAATTTTTATAGTTTATTTCACTTTCGTTTATTATCTACTTCACTTGCTTGGGCAATGTTAACATACGTTTCCCATGCCAATAAAGCCCTTACATTGAATTGAGAGAGAAAGAGAGAGAAAGGAAATACTGTTGACATTTCCATGATTGTGCAAGACTTTCAGTCCAACAGTTGTCACTAAGTTTACAGAGAAAGAAACTGGGAACACAAACACATTGTAAAGAGAGAGAGAGAGAGTGTGTGTGTGTGTGTGTGTGTGTGTACAGTGTGTGTTCAGTGTGTGAAGTGTGTGTACAATGTGTGTGCAGTCTGTGTACAGGATGTGTGTACAGTGTGTGTGCAGTGTTTGTGTGTGTACAGTGTGGGTGTACAGTGTGTGTGTGTGTGTACAGTGTGTGTTCAGTGTGTGTACAGTGTGTGTTCAGTGCGTGTACAATGTGTGTGCAGTCTGTGTACAGTCTGTGTGTGTGCAGTGTTTGTGTGTGTACAGTGTACAGTGTGTGTACAGTGTGTGTACTGTGTGTGTGTGTGTGTGTGTGCAGTGTGTGTGTGCAGTGTGTGTTCAGTGTGTGTACAGTGTGTGTTCAGTGCGTGTACAATGTGTGTGCAGCCTGTGTACAGTCTGTGTGTGTACAGTGTACAGTGTGTGTATGTGTGTGTACAGTGTCCTCTGTAGCTCAATTGGTAGAGCATGGCGCTTGTAACGCCAGGGTAGTGGGTTCAATCCCCGGGACCACCCATACGTAAATATGTATGCATTCGGATAAAAGCGTCTGCTAAATGGCATATTATTATTATTATTATTATTATTATTATTATTATGTGTGTGTCACCACGTGTCCTCTGTGTGACGTACTCCTCCATTAATGACATAATGTCAAAGTTCAAACTTCCAGGATTTACATTTAGTACCACCAGCCATCCAACAGCTGTCACTAAGCTAACAGAGAGATAACAGTTTAGAACACAAACACATTGTAAAGAATAAGTGTGTCTGCGTGTGCGTGCATGTGTGTGTGAAATATCCCTGAATATCCATCCACTGTTGCATAACATACTCCACCATTTCCATCCACAGACCCAGTATCACAACTTGAAGTCACCTGTGAATTGAACGGTACCATGGCAACACTTCACTGCAGGGCTGAGGGTCCGCTGGTGGAGTACCGCTGGTCTTGGCCTGACCACCAGGGGGAGATGTGGAGCCAGGAGCAGACTGGACAGCACTACAACATAAAATCCCCAGAGTCAGACAGCTACACCTGTGAGGCCAGGAACCCAGTCAGTGAGAAGACACAGACCTACAACAGCAATGACTGCCTTGCCACAGGTAAACAAGAGAGATAGGCGAGATATAGAAGGTTTGAGTTTTGTAAAGCCAATACCATTCTGTTGGTATACTAAGTCAAGGTTAAATAATGTCCAAGTATTTTGATGCTGTTGATAAAGCAATAGGAATTCCTTTGTTTAGTTTCCACTGACCATGTGACCTGACCTGTTTGTATCTGTCTGTATGTGTATCAGGTAATCCCTACATCTACATTGGTATTGGTGCAGGTGTCTTGTTGTTGGTTTCTGTTGTGGTTGTTGTTGTGGTCTGGCTCATCAAGAAGCATTCCAAAGGTAAGCCCCAGTCTTAATTAAGTACAGTAATACCTTATGACAAGGTTCTTTAGTATGAGTCTCCTTGAAGTTGTGGTGACATTGTGTTGATTCATTGTGTTCGGTTTAGACTCATAATCGACTGAAGAAAATCTGTCACTTTCCCCGAAGTTGCATTTCCCTTTCTTTCTAAGCCCTCTAGTAGATCCATACCTGCATACCCATTGACTTTCCTTCTTTCCCCTCCCTTGTTTTTGTAACTAATTCTGTGGATCAATCAAAATCTGTCGGCTCCGTTGGTCACACCACAGCTGATACCTTCCAATCCGGTCATGACATCCCCGGTCGTCTAGATTTGCGGAGCACAGGGAATGGCAGCCATCTTGAAGAGGATCGAGAGAAGGTGGTGGCAATCAGCCAAGCAGAGATTGTGGAAGAGGAGAATAAACTACTACAAGATGAAGAACTCACTCTGAGCACAAGTGTAAATGATAGGGTCAATCGGATCAACCAGACCTCTGGAGAGGGTAAAGGAGAAAAGAAGCCATTACTGGACAAGGCAGGATCCACTGATACAGATGTTATTGAGAGTAATAGCCCTTTCAAACTGAACAACCAGAATCAGGTTCTGGGTTGGGAGTCCGGAAAGAGACAGAGGGAAGAAAAAGAGCAGAGTGCAGAATCCAAGCAGAACATGAACGTTACCTTGGGGACTGTTACGGAGGGTTCTGGCCCAACTGCTCCTTCGAAGCCACCTCGGAGCAGCCTTAACTTTAATTCACCATACCCACAGACTCTGGAGACACAGCACAGCAGAGAGCATCATGGGGGAGGACCTGACCAAAGCATGGGTGGTTATGGCACAGAGAGAGAGGGAGCGGGAGACGGAGAGGGAGATGGACAACTTATGTCCCAGAAAGTCCTTGTCTTAGACACAAGGGAGGAGAGCGGAGGAAAGGAGGCGGGGACAAGAGAGGACAGAGAAGATGAGGAGAAAGAGGAGGTAGTAGGAGATGATTTAGTGACAGGGGAGGGAGAGGGGCAAGAAGAGACAGAAAGGAGAGAAGATGAGGAGAAAGAGGAGGTAGTAGGAGATGATTTAGTGACAGAGGAGGGAGAGGGGCAAGAAGAGACTGATAGGAGAGATGATGAGGAGGTAGTAGGAGATGATTTAGTGACAGAGGAGGGAGAGGGGCAAGAAGAGACTGATAGGAGAGATGATGGAGGAGAAAGAGAAGGAAAGGAGAGAGAGACTGAAGAGAATGAAGAAGAGCAGGAGGAAGGGGAAGGAGAAGAAAGAGGGAAGAAAGAAGAGGAAACACAGAAAGGAGGGAAGAGAGAGGAAGGAAAGAGCCCAACTTCTCCCAAACAAACACTCCCCCGCAAAGCCCCCCGACCACCTCTCGCCCCAAAACCATCATCTATAAGACGCTCTCATGGCTGTCAGATGGGTGGAGAACAAGGAAGAGTAGTGAAAATGATGGAAACCCAGAGGAGCAGTGGTCAGGTAGACAGAGAGGGACGAACACCTGGCCTATCAGGTCTGAGGAGACCCACTAGCTCAGTGTCAGACAGTACAGACACTCCTGACAGAAGCAGTCCAGGATTGTCAGCTGTTCCTATAGCCACAGCATTTAGTCCACAGGCGGGCAGTGGTACTCTATCCAATCCAGGAAAGTCCAATCTAGGTGCACCCTCCGGACCAGTAGACACCAGTTCAGATACAGCATGTACAGCCATAGAGAGTAGCACAGATACCCTGTCTACTTCATAGAGAAGTATAGGTACAGTGGGGAAAAAAAGTATTTAGTCAGCCACCAATTGTGCAAGTTCTCCCACTTAAAAAGATGAGAGAGGCCTGTAATTTTCATCATAGGTACACGTCAACTATGACAGACAAAATGAGAAAAAAAAATCCAGAAAATCACATTGTAGGATTTTTAATGAATTTATTTGCAAATTATGGTGGAAAATAAGTATTTGGTCAATAACAAAACTTTCTCAATACTTTGTTATATACCCTTTGTTGGCAATGACACAGGTCAAACATTTTCTGTAAGTCTTCACACACTTGCTGGTATTTTGGCCCATTCCTCCATGCAGATCTCCTCTAGAGCAGTGATGTTTTGGGGCTGTCGCTGGGCAACACGGACTTTCAACTCCCTCCAAAGATTTTCTATGGGGTTGAGATCTGGAGACTGGCTAGGCCACTCCAGGACCTTGAAATGCTTCTTACGAAGCCACTCCTTCGTTGCCCGGGCGGTGTGTTTTGGATCATTGTCATGCTGAAAGACCCAGCCACGTTTCATCTTCAATGCCCTTGCTGATGGAAGGAGGTTTTCACTCAAAATCTCACGATACATGGCCCCATTCATTCTTTCCTTTACACAGATCAGTCGTCCTGGTCCCTTTGCAGAAAAACAGCCCCAAAGCATGATGTTTCCACCCCCATGCTTCACAGTAGGTATGGTGTTCTTTGGATGCAACTCAGCATTCTTTGTCCTCCAAACACGACGAGTTGAGTTTTTACCAAAAAGTTCTATTTTGGTTTCATCTGACCATATGACATTCTCCCAATCCTCTTCTGGATCATCCAAATGCACTCTAGCAAACTTCAGACGGGCCTGGACATGTACTGGCTTAAGCAGGGGGACACGTCTGTCACTGCAGGATTTGAGTCCCTGGCGGCGTAGTGTGTTACTGATGGTAGGCTTTGTTACTTTGGTCCCAGCTCTCTGCAGGTCATTCACTAGGTCCCCCCGTGTGGTTCTGGGATTTTTGCTCACCGTTCTTGTGATCATTTTGACCCCACGGGGTGAGATCTTGCGTGGAGCCCCAGATCAAGGGAGATTATCAGTGGTCTTGTATGTCTTCCATTTCCTAATAATTGCTCCCACAGTTGATTTCTTCAAACCAAGCTGCTTACCTATTGCAGATTCAGTCTTCCCAGCCTGGTGCAGGTCTACAATTTTGTTTCTGGTGTCCTTTGACAGCTCTTTGGTCTTGGCCATAGTGGAGTTTGGAGTGTGACTGTTTGAGGTTGTGGACAGGTGTCTTTTATACTGATAACAAGTTCAAACAGGTGCCATTAATACAGGTAACGAGTGGAGGACAGAGGAGCCTCTTAAAGAAGAAGTTACAGGTCTGTGAGAGCCAGAAATCTTGCTTGTTTGTAGGTGACCAAATACTTTTTTCCACCATAATTTGCAAATAAATACATTAAAAATCCTACAATGTGATTTTCTGGATTCTTTTTTCTCAATTTGTCTGTCATAGTTGACGTGTACCTATGATGAAAATTACAGGCCTCTCTCATCTTTTTAAGTGGGAGAACTTGCACAATTGGTGGCTGACTAAATACTTTTTTCCCCCACTGTAAATCCTCTGGACCAGTAGACACTAGCTCAGATACAGCATGTACAGCCATAGAGAGTAGCTCAGATACTCTGTCCACTACAGAGGAAGGTATACCAACAGATACCAGTAACTACAGCCTCTGTACCAGGTGAAACCAGCTGAAAAGCACTTGTGAAATAGTTTAACAAAAAGTTAGGCTCTATACGGGATGCTTTTTTCTTGTATTTAGAGGAAATAAAGAGAGAGAGAGAGAGTGTGTGTGGTGTGGTGTGTGTGACAGTGTGTGTCAGTGTGTGAGTGTGTGTACAATTGTGTGCGTCTGTGTAAGGATGTGTGTACAGTGGGTGCAGTGTTTGTGTGTGTACAGTGGGGTGTACAGTTGTGTGGTGTGTGTACAGTGTGTGTTCAGTGTGTGTACAGTGTGTTCAGTGCGGTACAATGTGTGTGCAGTCTGTGTACAGTCTGTGGTGTGTGCAGTGTTTGTGTGTGTACAGTGTACAGTGTGTGTACAGTGTGTGTACTGTGTGTGTGTGTGTGTGTGTGTGCAGTGTTGTGTGTGCAGTGTGTGTTCAGTGTGTGTACAGGTGTGTGTTCAGTGCGTGTACAATGTGTGTGCAGCCTGTGTACAGTCTGTGTGTGTACAGTGTACAGTGTGTGTATGGGTGTGTGTACAGTGTCCTCTGTAGCTCAATTGGTAGAGCATGGCGCTTGTAACGCCAGGGTAGTGGGTTCAATCCCCGGGACCACCCATACGTAAATATGTATGCATTCGGATAAAAGCGTCTGCTAAATGGCATTATTATTATTATTATTATTATTATTATTATGTGTGTGTCACCACGTGTCCTCTGTGTGACGTACTCCTCCATTAATGACATAATGTCAAAGTTCAAACTTCCAGGATTTACATTTAGTACCACCAGCCATCCAACAGCTGTCACTAAGCTAACAGAGAGATAACAGTTTAGAACACAAACACATTGTAAAGAATAAGTGTGTCTGCGTGTGCGTGCATGTGTGTGTGAAATATCCCTGAATATCCATCCACTGTTGCATAACATACTCCACCATTTCCATCCACAGACCCAGTATCACAACTTGAAGTCACCTGTGAATTGAACGGTACCATGGCAACACTTCACTGCAGGGCTGAGGGTCCGCTGGTGGAGTACCGCTGGTCTTGGCCTGACCACCAGGGGGAGATGTGGAGCCAGGAGCAGACTGGACAGCACTACAACATAAAATCCCCAGAGTCAGACAGCTACACCTGTGAGGCAAGGAACCCAGTCAGTGAGAAGACACAGACCTACAACAGCAATGACTGCCTTGCCACAGGTAAACAAGAGAGATAGGCGAGATATAGAAGGTTTGAGTTTTGTAAAGCCAATACCATTCTGTTGGTATACTAAGTCAAGGTTAAATAATGTCCAAGTATTTTGATGCTGTTGATAAAGCAATAGGAATTCCTTTGTTTAGTTTCCACTGACCATGTGACCTGACCTGTTTGTATCTGTCTGTATGTGTATTAGGTCATCCCTACATCTACATTGGTATTGGTGCAGGTGTCTTGTTGGTTTCTGTTGTGGTTGTTGTTGTGGTCTGGCTCATCAAGAAGCATTCCAAAGGTAAGCCCCAGTCTTAATTAAGTACAGTAATACCTTATGACAAGGTTCTTTAGTATGAGTCTCCTTGAAGTTGTGGTGACATTGTGTTGATTCATTGTGTTCGGTTTAGACTCCTAATCGACTGAAGAAAATCTGTCACTTTCCCCGAAGTTGCATTTCCCTTTCTTTCTAAGCCCTCTAGTAGATCCATACCTGCATGCCCATTGACTTTCCTTCTTTCCCCTCCCTTGTTTTTGTAACTAATTCTGTGGATCAATCAAAATCTGTCGGCTCCGTTGGTCACACCACAGCTGATACCTTCCAATCCGGTCATGACATCCCCGGTCGTCTAGATTTGCGGAGCACAGGGAATGGCAGCCATCTTGAAGAGGATCGAGAGAAGGTGGTGGCAATCAGCCAAGCAGAGATTGTGGAAGAGGAGAATAAACTACTACAAGATGAAGAACTCACTCTGAGCACAAGTGTAAATGATAGGGTCAATCGGATCAACCAGACCTCTGGAGAGGGTAAAGGAGAAAAGAAGCCATTACTGGACAAGGCAGGATCCACTGATACAGATGTTATTGAGAGTAATAGCCCTTTCAAACTGAACAACCAGAATCAGGTTCTGGGTTGGGAGTCCGGAAAGAGACAGAGGGAAGAAAAAGAGCAGAGTGCAGAATCCAAGCAGAACATGAACGTTACCTTGGGGACTGTTACGGAGGGTTCTGGCCCAACTGCTCCTTCGAAGCCACCTCGGAGCAGCCTTAACTTTAATTCACCATACCCACAGACTCTGGAGACACAGCACAGCAGAGAGCATCATGGGGGAGGACCTGACCAAAGCATGGGTGGTTATGGCACAGAGAGAGAGGGAGCGGGAGACGGAGAGGGAGATGGACAACTTATGTCCCAGAAAGTCCTTGTCTTAGACACAAGGGAGGAGAGCGGAGGAAAGGAGGCGGGGACAAGAGAGGACAGAGAAGATGAGGAGAAAGAGGAGGTAGTAGGAGATGATTTAGTGACAGGGGAGGGAGAGGGGCAAGAAGAGACAGAAAGGAGAGAAGATGAGGAGAAAGAGGAGGTAGTAGGAGATGATTTAGTGACAGAGGAGGGAGAGGGGCAAGAAGAGACTGATAGGAGAGATGATGAGGAGGTAGTAGGAGATGATTTAGTGACAGAGGAGGGAGAGGGGCAAGAAGAGACTGATAGGAGAGATGATGGAGGAGAAAGAGAAGGAAAGGAGAGAGAGACTGAAGAGAATGAAGAAGAGCAGGAGGAAGGGGAAGGAGAAGAAAGAGGGAAGAAAGAAGAGGAAACACAGAAAGGAGGGAAGAGAGAGGAAGGAAAGAGCCCAACTTCTCCCAAACAAACACTCCCCCGCAAAGCCCCCCGACCACCTCTCGCCCCAAAACCATCATCTATAAGACGCTCTCATGGCTGTCAGATGGGTGGAGAACAAGGAAGAGTAGTGAAAATGATGGAAACCCAGAGGAGCAGTGGTCAGGTAGACAGAGAGGGACGAACACCTGGCCTATCAGGTCTGAGGAGACCCACTAGCTCAGTGTCAGACAGTACAGACACTCCTGACAGAAGCAGTCCAGGATTGTCAGCTGTTCCTATAGCCACAGCATTTAGTCCACAGGCGGGCAGTGGTACTCTATCCAATCCAGGAAAGTCCAATCTAGGTGCACCCTCCGGACCAGTAGACACCAGTTCAGATACAGCATGTACAGCCATAGAGAGTAGCACAGATACCCTGTCTACTTCATAGAGAAGTATAGGTACAGTGGGGAAAAAAAGTATTTAGTCAGCCACCAATTGTGCAAGTTCTCCCACTTAAAAAGATGAGAGAGGCCTGTAATTTTCATCATAGGTACACGTCAACTATGACAGACAAAATGAGAAAAAAAAATCCAGAAAATCACATTGTAGGATTTTTAATGAATTTATTTGCAAATTATGGTGGAAAATAAGTATTTGGTCAATAACAAAACTTTCTCAATACTTTGTTATATACCCTTTGTTGGCAATGACACAGGTCAAACATTTTCTGTAAGTCTTCACACACTTGCTGGTATTTTGGCCCATTCCTCCATGCAGATCTCCTCTAGAGCAGTGATGTTTTGGGGCTGTCGCTGGGCAACACGGACTTTCAACTCCCTCCAAAGATTTTCTATGGGGTTGAGATCTGGAGACTGGCTAGGCCACTCCAGGACCTTGAAATGCTTCTTACGAAGCCACTCCTTCGTTGCCCGGGCGGTGTGTTTTGGATCATTGTCATGCTGAAAGACCCAGCCACGTTTCATCTTCAATGCCCTTGCTGATGGAAGGAGGTTTTCACTCAAAATCTCACGATACATGGCCCCATTCATTCTTTCCTTTACACAGATCAGTCGTCCTGGTCCCTTTGCAGAAAAACAGCCCCAAAGCATGATGTTTCCACCCCCATGCTTCACAGTAGGTATGGTGTTCTTTGGATGCAACTCAGCATTCTTTGTCCTCCAAACACGACGAGTTGAGTTTTTACCAAAAAGTTCTATTTTGGTTTCATCTGACCATATGACATTCTCCCAATCCTCTTCTGGATCATCCAAATGCACTCTAGCAAACTTCAGACGGGCCTGGACATGTACTGGCTTAAGCAGGGGGACACGTCTGTCACTGCAGGATTTGAGTCCCTGGCGGCGTAGTGTGTTACTGATGGTAGGCTTTGTTACTTTGGTCCCAGCTCTCTGCAGGTCATTCACTAGGTCCCCCCGTGTGGTTCTGGGATTTTTGCTCACCGTTCTTGTGATCATTTTGACCCCACGGGGTGAGATCTTGCGTGGAGCCCCAGATCAAGGGAGATTATCAGTGGTCTTGTATGTCTTCCATTTCCTAATAATTGCTCCCACAGTTGATTTCTTCAAACCAAGCTGCTTACCTATTGCAGATTCAGTCTTCCCAGCCTGGTGCAGGTCTACAATTTTGTTTCTGGTGTCCTTTGACAGCTCTTTGGTCTTGGCCATAGTGGAGTTTGGAGTGTGACTGTTTGAGGTTGTGGACAGGTGTCTTTTATACTGATAACAAGTTCAAACAGGTGCCATTAATACAGGTAACGAGTGGAGGACAGAGGAGCCTCTTAAAGAAGAAGTTACAGGTCTGTGAGAGCCAGAAATCTTGCTTGTTTGTAGGTGACCAAATACTTTTTTTCCACCATAATTTGCAAATAAATACATTAAAAATCCTACAATGTGATTTTCTGGATTCTTTTTTCTCAATTTGTCTGTCATAGTTGACGTGTACCTATGATGAAAATTACAGGCCTCTCTCATCTTTTTAAGTGGGAGAACTTGCACAATTGGTGGCTGACTAAATACTTTTTTCCCCCACTGTAAATCCTCTGGACCAGTAGACACTAGCTCAGATACAGCATGTACAGCCATAGAGAGTAGCTCAGATACTCTGTCCACTACAGAGGAAGGTATACCAACAGATACCAGTAAAGCTACAGCCTCTGTACCAGGTGAAACCAGCTGAAAAGCACTTGTTGAAATAGTTTAACAAAAATGTTAGGCTCTATACGGGGATGCTTTGTTTCTCTTGTATTTAGAGGAAATTATTTAAAGTATATTTAAAACCAAATACCTTTAGACTTTTACTTGAGTCATTTTCTATTAAAGTATCTTTACTTTTACTCAAGTATGACAATTGGGTACTTTTTCCACCACTGTGTTATAGATTATCAACATAATGCATTGTGTTGGTACAGTATACACTAAATTTTTTATACCAACATACATTTTGTATTTTTAGGTGCATTTTATGACAAAATATTTCATTACGAGGTTACTTGCTCCTTTACATGGTGTGAGGGCTGATACCTTTCTCTATAAAAATAATACATATTTCAAATGTTAATATTAAAAAAAAGTGTGAGAAAAAGTTGCTTTTGTCCCGACTTTCAATAATGCCTGAGGTGTAGGCACATGTATATAAAAAATAAATACATCTTTCACTTTCACTTCATGGTTCGCACTTGTTGAAGATGGCTGACAAAGGACCATCAATTCCAACAGTAATAGTATTAGTCCCCATCTTCTGTTGCATTTGTGGCAGATAATGAATTATTGGTAAGTGAATATATTTCCCCCAGGTATTCATAGTTACAGTCTAGACGGACTCAAGTGAAAGAGGAGATTTCAGTCTAGTGTAAACTGACAACAGGTATTTTGACACAGCCATCCAGCGGGCGACAGTTGAACCTTTTTTCATGAATGTTTGTTAGGGTACAGACTATTGGGCCGAGTTAAGGGTGTGCCTTATAAGGAAATAGGAACTATATTGACTGTGCCATTGTGTATTTTAAAGGTGAAAGGTAGGCCTACTTCACAACTGAATGTATACTTGGCTATTACTGGGTAGGATAAGATGGTAATACTAAAGGCCTGGCTGTGACAAGTTTAGAGTGATGATGCAACCATATACATAGAATTTAAGTTTACCTTCCGTAATTATAATTATATTTCTAAGGGTGTAACTCTGCTCTTTTCCCAAAGCAGCTGCAGCTTCACCAACACGTTATGTCATCACAAAGGAATGTCGTTATCAATCCTGGAATCCCTGGTGGAGTTCCAGAGGATAACATGAAGGCGGTGGAATGGGACACTGCTGGGATATGGGAATTTTGTGATTTTTAAGGGAAGACATCCTTGAACACCACAACATGAGAAATCACAATCAGACAGCTGACCAAGCAGCTCAGTGGGGTGTATGAGGTAGAGGGTATGATTGGTGGGAAAATACAGACCTTTCAGCAGAGAGTAAAAGTCATTGTTAAGTAATTGTTTCCTAAATGGAAGGTCGGGACTTGTGACCCAATGATGGATCGGGACATCCTTTAGGTACCAGTTAAAGACAGGGATGTAACTCATTTTGCAAAGGTTAAAAATTTAAAAGGTTCAAACACAAAAAGTTTGGCAATGACTATGTCACGTGCTGTTGAAGTGCTGAACAAGAACCTTGGTTAGTCCACACTTTTTAAATACATTCTTTTCTGGTTATCTTTTTACTTTTCTTATAAACAAAACCTATATGCAGCTCTCTCCAAAAGTCCCCCTGATAAGAACGCCAGAATGATAGCATTCGTATATCAGTTGGGAGAACTACGCAGGTTTGTGAGTAGAGAGAGAGAGGGGGGACATAATGTCAAAGTTCAAACTTCCATGATTGTGCAAGACATTTAGTATAACCAGACATCCAACAGCTGTCACCAAACTAACAGAGAGGGAACATTTCAAAACACAAACACATTGTAAAGAATAAGTGTGTATGTGTGTGTGAAATATTCCTGACTTTCCGTCCAAGGTTGCATAACGTACTCCTCCATTTCCATCCACAGACCCAGTAATACAACCTGAAGTCCCCTGTGAATTGAACCCTACCATGCAGTGTTAAGGGTCCATCATCGGTGGAGTACCGCTAGTCTTGGCCTGACCACGAGGCTGAGATGTGGAGCCAGGAGCAGACTGGACAGCACTACAACATCACATCCCCAGAGTCAGACAGCTACACCTGTGAGGCAAGGAACCCAGTCAGTGAGAAGACACAGACCTACAACAGCAATGACTGCCTTGCCACAGGTAAACAAGAGAGATAGGCGAGATATAGAAGGTTTGAGTTTTGTAAAGCCAATACCATTCTGTTGGTATACTAAGTCAAGGTTAAATAATGTCCAAGTATTTTGATGCTGTTGATAAAGGAATAGGAATTCCTTTGTTCAGTTTCCACTGACCATGTGACCTGACCTGTTTGTATCTGTCTGTATGTGTATTAGGTAATCCCTACATCTACATTGGTATTGGTGCAGGTGTCTTGTTGTTGGTTTCTGTTGTGGTTGTTGTTGTGGTCTGGCTCATCAAGAAGCATTACAAAGGTAAGCCCATGTTTTTAATTACAGTGCCTTGCAAAAGTATTCATCCCCCTTGGCGTTTTTCCTATTTTGTAGCATTACAACCTGTAATTTAAATGGATTTTTATTTGGATTTCATGTAATGGACATACACAAAATAGTCCAAATTGGTGAAGTGAAATGAAAAAAAGAACTTGTTTAAAAAAATACTAAAAATAAATAACGGAAAAGTGGTGCGTGCATATGCATTCACCCCCTTTGCTATGAAACCCCTAAATAAGATCTGGTGCAACCAATTACCTTCGGAAGTCACAGAATTAGTTAAATAAAGTGCACCTGTGTGCAATCTAAGTGTCACATGATCTGTCACATGATCTCAGTATATATACACCTGTTCTAAAAGGCCCCAGAGTCTGCAACACCACTAAGCAAGGGGCACCACCAAGCAAGCGGCACCATGAAGACTAAGGAGCTCTCCAAACAGGTTAGGGACAAAGTTGGAGAAGTACAGATCAGGGTTGGGTTATAAAAAAATATCTAAAACTTTGAACATCCCACGGAGCACCAATAAATCCATTATTAAAAAATGAAAAGAATATGGCACCACAACAAACCTGCCAAGAGAGGGCCGCCCACCAAAACCTACGGACCAGGCAAGGAGGGCATTAATCAGAGAGGCAACAAAGAGACCAAAGATAACCCCGAAGGAGCTGCAAAGCTCCACAGCGGAGATTGGAGTATCTGTCCATAGGACCACTTTAAGCTGTACACTCCACAGAGCTGGGCTTTATGGAAGAGTGGCCAGAAAAAAGCCATTGCTTAAAGAAAAAAATAAGCAAACACGTTTGGTGTTTGCCAAAAGGCATGTGGGAGACTCCCCAAACATTTGGAAGAAGGTACTCTGGTCAGATGAAACTAAAATTGAGCTTTTTGGCCATCAAGGAAAACGCTATGTCTGGCACAAACCCAACACCTCTCATCACCCCAAGAACACCATCCCCACAGTGAAGCATGGTGGTGGCAGCATCATGCTGTGGGGATGTTTTTCATCGGCAGGGACTGGGAAACTGGTCAGAATTGAAGGAATGATGGATGGCGCTAAATACAGGGAAATTCTTGAGGGAAACCTGTTTCAGTCTTCCAGAGATTTGAGACTGGGACGGAGGTTCACCTTCCAGCAGGACAATGACCCTAAGCATACTGCTAAAGCAACACTTGATTGGTTTAAGGGGAAACATTTAAATGTCTTGGAATGGCCTAGTCAAAGCCCAGACCTCAATCCAATTGAGAATCTGTGGTATGACTTAAAGATTGCTGTACACCAGCGGAACCCATCCAACTTGAAGGAGCTGGAGCAGTTTTGCCTTGAAGAATGGGCAAAAATCCCAGTGGCTAGATGTGCCAAGCTTATAAAGACATACCCCAAGAGACTTGCAGCTGTAGTTGCTGCAAAAGGTGGCTCTACAAAGTATTGACTTTGGGGGGGTGAATAGTTATGCACGCTCAAGTTTTCAGTTTTTTTGTCTTATTTCTTGTTTGTTTCACCCCAAAAAATATTTTGCATCTTCAAAGTGGTAGGCATGTTGTGTAAATCAAATGATACAAACCCCCCCAAAAAATCAATTTTAATTCCAGGTTGTAAGGTAACAAAATAGGAAAAATGCCAAGGGGGATGAATACTTTCGCAACCCACTGTATATTCTGTATGTAATGTGCTGGTATGTTTATATAATTCTCAACTTTGAATAATGTGAATTATAATCAAAAGTTGATCCATTTAAAAACATAGAAAAACTTGTTGAAAATTGTTGCTGAAAATAGGAGATTCTTCAAGTAGTTTGTAAAAAGGGTTAATAAAGTTATTATAGCAGTCGTGTAAAGTACTTAAGTAAAAATACTTTAAAGTACTACTTCCACCACTGGAAGTACTTTTTCTACCACTGTTTTATAGCGTATCAACATAATGCATTGTGTTGGTACAGTATACACTACATTTTTTATTCCAACATACATTTAGTATTTTTAGGTGCATTTTATGAACAGAATATTTAATTAAGAGGTTACTTGCTCCTTTTCATGGTGTGAGGGCTGATACTTTGCTCTATAAAAAATAATACATACTTCAAATGTTAATATGAAAAAAAAAAACGTTTGTGAAGAATGTTTACTTTTGTCCTGACTTTCAATAATGCCAGAGGCGTAGGCACATGTAAAAAAAGAAAGTCCCCCTGATAAGAACGCCAGAATGATACCAATTGTATATCAGATGGGAGAACTATGCAGGTTTGTGAGTAGAGAGAGAGAGGGGGGACATAATGCCAAAGTTCAAACTTCCATGATTGTGCAAGACATTTAGTATAACCAGCCATCCAACAGTTGTCTCTAAGTTAACAGAGAGAGAACATTTCAGAACAAACACATTGTAAAGAATAAGTGTGTGTATGTGTGCATGTGGGTGCAGTGTATGTGTGCGTGCATTTGTGTGTGTGTGTGAAATATTCCTGAATTTTCATCTACTGTTGCATAACATACTCGTCCATTTCCATCCACAGACCCAGTATCACAACCTGAAGTCACCTGTGAATTGAACTGAAGCATGGCAACACTTCGCTGCAGTGTTAAGGGTCCATCAGTGGAGTACCACTGGTCTTGGCCTGACCACCAGGGGGAGATGTGGAGTCAAGACCAGACTGGACAGCACTACAACATCACATTTCCAGAGTCAGGCAGCTACACCTGTGAGGCCAGGAACCCAGTCAGTGAGAAGACACAGATCTACAACAGAAACGACTGCCTGGCCACAGGTAAATTCATAAAGCGAATCAGGATAATCAGATCAGTTCAGGCAAATGAGAAATAAGTGCACTCAGGCTATCCAGAAGGCTAAAGCTAGTTACTTTAAGGAGCAGTTCTCTCTGTGGGTCTAACCCCAAGAAGTTCTGGAAAACGGTTAAAGACCTGGAGAATAAACCCTCCTCCTCACAGCTGCCAATGTCCCTTAATGTTGATGATGTGGTTGTTAGTGACAAAGAGCACATGGCTGAGCTCCTTAAATCACCACTTCATTAACTCAGGATTCCTATTTGACTTAGCCATGCCTCCTTGCCCGTCCAACATTTCCTAATCTCCCAGTCCTTCTAATGTGACTAGCCCCGATGCTCCTCCCTCTTTTTCCCCTGCCCACTATAAAGTTTCTCCCTGCAGGCGGTTACGGAGTCCGAGGTGCTAAAGGAGCTCCTTAAACTTGACACCAAAAAAAAACATCTGGGTCAGATGGTTTAGACCCATTCTTCTTTAAGGTTGCAGCCCCTATCATAGCCAAGCCTGTCTCTGACCTTTTTAACCTGTCTCTCCTAGGACATACACTCTGAGGTGGAGTCAGGGTCAGAGGACCAAGAGGAGGAATCCAGCAGAGCCACACACAACAGCCAGACTGACGGTCAGAGGTCTCCACCAACCCCTCAGAGAAGGGATGAAGATAGAGCGTCCAGAGAGAGAGGAGGTGATAGAACCTAACTTCTCCCAAACAAACACCTCCATCCTGAATTCCTAGACGTCAAGACCCAACTTCTCCTAAAACAACGCCACACACCCACAAACCCCACCACCTCTTGCCCCAAAACCATCAACTATAACATGCTGACCACACCACCCGCATCGCGTGCGCGAGCGTTGCAAAATAAATGCACACATACATGTTATTAAATCATTGCACCCACACCGCTAGTGCGCGTCAACGAGCGTCTGCGGAGCCAGGCGCTAAAATAGAACTTGGTTCAAGTCCCGCCTTTCCCATCTCCTCATTGTTTTTTAGGAGCATATACCCACGTGGGTGATTGAAAGATGAACTGAGGTCCACACACCAGTCCAGTTGGTGGTGGTAATGCAACTTAAAGTTGATTGCCAACCACCATATAAAGTCCAAAGAAGAAGAAGAAGAAGCCTGAAGGAGGAGAGATTACTAGAAACAAACTCGGTTTACCTTTTTATCTGTGGATTAATTGTAGAGGACCTTGTGCATTTCAGGTAAGATAACAACCCAATGTTTATATCCCATGAAAAATGTGCTAGCAACAGCAAGCTAGCTAGCTAAATTGCCATAAATGTTTAATGCTTTTCGACCTGTCCCCAAATGAATACAGTTGGTTCAGAGTTCGTTTTGATATTTGAAGCTGCGTGTCCTGATGGCCTGGTGTAAGTGGAGCAAAATGAAGATGCGCGCGAGCGGTGTGGTCAGTATGTAATACACATATGGCTATCAGATGGGTGTAGAACAAGGAAGTATTTTGAAAACAATGGAAACCCAAAGGAGCAGTGGTCAGGTAGACCGAGAGGGAGGAACACCTGGCCTATCCAGTGGCGATTTTAGCATGTAAATCTTGGTGGGGCAAACATTTTTAGATGCATGCCAGCAAAACCTCTACACAACACAACACTAAACAATACATTCATTGCATTATAACGGTGACAGTGCCCACAAACTGTTAGAGTTTACATAAAGCTGTCCCAACAGCAGAGTCCCAACAGCAGTCCCAACACTTTACCACTGCTACACCTGGCTATCAGCAGAGCCTTATCTGGCAGCGAAACAGTTCATTCAGCCTCATTTACTGCCTTTAAAAAAAAACATAGCTGAAATGGTTGACTTGCTTAAACAAATGTGGTTTCTAATGACAATTGAAATGTACAAACTATGGCATAAGGGGACGAAGAGCTGATAAGAGGCAATCCGTAATTTCGATTAAGACAATGAGCGAGCTAGGACGGACGTAGTCAATATAACTATTTGTTCAGCACTTTTGAAATGTACAGCGACAGAATTCAGAACATGGGCCGTTCTTACAATGTTCTCCCTGTACACCAAGTCAGAACCATAGGATAAATAAAGGGGCATATAAGCAGACAATGAAATCTCTTACAATATTAGATGATTACATTTCTCTAAAACAGGCTATAGGCTACATGTGCACTACCAAGTCAGAATAGTAGGTGAAATTATGAGGGGAAAAGTGACCAAATTATTAGAGTGAGGCACATGGGCTACTAACAGCTTACTACACAATATACACTTAATATTACTATCTTAGGTACAGACAGTATACATATCTCCCTGGCATATTACATAATTTCTGCAGCAGCATACAATACATTTTTGGACTCGCCTTGTTGTGCTTTGCTCACTTGAACAGGAAGGTGGCAAGGCGGTCCTCAAACTTTGTCATCAAAGTCTGGCATTCTCTGGATTTATGGTGCTTTCAAGACAACTGGGAACTTGTAAAAAAAAAACAAGGTTGAATCAGTGATCTTCAGGTCGGAGCTCTAGAAAGAGGCCTGAGTTGCCGACTTGCAATTCCGAGTTGGATGACCGTTCAAAACGTGTTTTCCCAGTCGGAGCTTGTTTTTTTCCAAGTTTCCAGTTGTCTTGAACTCACTGAAGTCAGATTTCCCAGTTCTGAGTTTCCAGTTGTTTTGAGATCGGCATAAGTCATGCTGGATTGACAGCATGGCCAATGTTGAATGTTTATCCTTTTAAGCTTGGAAAAGAGACCCTTAAACCCAGACTTGGGACCACACACCCACTCCACTGAATTACAGGGTAGTGATTGCTTTGCAATGCTTGCAGTTAGCCACTGATTCCTTCCAAACCAATCATTGTTGAATTTGCGATTTCCAACTTGTTGTGTAATGTTTATGTCCAATGGCCGATGAGCACCGATACGTTTTATTTATAATTAATTTTATTTCTCTTCATATGACAAGGATTGTAAAGGATTTGCCTGTAGATTGTCGACTTGATTCATGATGATGACTGCTAGCTTGCTAGCTAAGATTTTGAAAGTATGATGTTAACATGATCAGTCCAATGAAAGCTACTTTAGATATAACGTGATTTGACGTCATTTTTCTGTGGCCAATGACCTAAAGCCTTCTTGGATGGGCACTTCTAATGTAAAAGTATGGCAGCACCCAAGGGGCTTGAATTTTCTAGCTCTACCCTTAGATTTTGCGCTGACGTAGTGTCCCCATGAGTGACAGAACACTGAGCCAATTACGGCGCAACTAGAGAACATTACCAACCCCTACGCTCCGTATATTCTGCTGAATGCCCCACCACAGAAAGTGCTGAGCTGGGCTGAAACACCTGCATTTTGGAGCGGCCTTACTCAAGAAAGCAAAAAAGAGACCATGTTTGTATGCGGCTTTATCAACTCAATGATTTTGTATTATTTAATTTTTTTTACATTGTTTGAAAACTTATATGTGACACGTATTAATGCCAAAAATAAACATTTATTTTTAATATTTTAGCTAAACAGGTGGGGCCCAAAACAGGCTCTGCCCCACCTGCCCTGAGTGACGGGTCGCCACTGGGCCTATCAGGTCTGAGGAGACCCACTAGCTCAGTGTCAGACTGTACAGACACTCCTGATAGAAGCAGTCCAGGATTGTCAGCTGGTCTCAGAGCCACAGCATGTAGGTACACTATCTACTCCAGTAAAATACAGTTCAGGTGCACCCTCTGGACCAGTAGACACTACCTCAGATACAGCATGTACAGCCATAGAGAGTAGCTCAGATACTCTGTCTACTTCATAGAGAAGTATAGGTAAATCCTCTTGACCAGTAGACACCGGCTCAGATACAGCATGTACAGCCATAGAGAGTGGCTCAGATACTCTGTCTACTTCATAGAGAAGTATAGGTAAATCCTCCGGACCAGTAGACACTAGCTCAGATACAGCATGTACAGCCATAGAGAGTGGCTCAGATACTCTGTCTACTTCATAGAAAAGTATAGGTAAATCCTCTGGACCAGTAGACACCAGCTCAGATACAACATGTACAACCATAGAGAGTGGCTCAGATACTCTGTCTACTTCATAGAGAAGTACAGGTACAGCCTCTGTACCAGGAGAAACCAGTTGAAAAGCACTTGTTGAATATATAGTTTGTTTGATAAATATTTAGATTCTGTACAGGGGAGGTTTGTTTCTCTTCAGTGAACTCATATCTCCTTTTCTATCTCTTTCTGGTTATTATGTATCATATTGTTATCCTGTATATGATGTGCTGTCATGTTTAGCCTAGGCTACTATAATTTTTAACTTTGATAAATGTGAATTATAATGAAATGTTGATCCATGCAACAAGATGGCAAAAATGTATTATGTTTTGAGGAAAATATTTCATTGTGTGAATGTTTTAGTGTGCATGCCTCATAGGCCTATAGGTGAATGGCTAGGCTGGTGAATTAAAATCACTCTTACACTCAGTGGACAGGAGGACAAGTAAATGAGCTATAGTTATTAATTTACCTTTGAATATTACAGTATTGACAACTTTTGTTACATTGTAGCACAGTGATCCTATCAATTCTAAATTATATATGTAATTCTGTACATTGTAGCCAATTATACACACAGCCAAAGACCAGATAAGGGCACGACTACAGCAAGGAATATTCCAGAAGTGGTTCGATTAGAAAATAAAGTTAATATAGCAAAAAAACATAATGCAACGTGTTGGGATACAGTGTGCTTGTACTGCAGCTATTAAACATTATTTACAAGTGAAATGGAACGTTATTTTATTTTCAACCGAGAGGTCATGACTCATGCAGAGGGAGGAACTAAAATCCACATTTTACTTTCACTTTCACATCCTCGACAGGCTAGGCTATGAACCACATAGTGTTTTACCATATCTCATTTGAACTTAGTTTATTTAGATAAATAAAAGTAACAAACTAGCAAATATGGCCAAACTAAGGTTCATCATGTCGTGTTTCTGGATTTGTCTGGCGCGAACGGTGGTCTCCGAAGGTAAGTTGAACCGACTGACAGGGCCGAACGTAGCGTTTGGCATACCTACTATTTGTTAGGCTACTTGTTTCCTATTGGGGCCTAATTGTATATCATAGCCAGCAACATCACTTACTTTTTGATTATCATGAACAATAGGTATGTGTAAGAATGTATTTTATGAACACTGTGCGCTGCAACTTCAAGTTAGAAGCGCAGCCGCGGAGTGGGATTCATATCACTGAAAAAAAACACGGCAATCTGAAATCATAAACGACATTATGGAGGAATGGACAATAGCCTAAACACACTCTTCCTATTGATTTTCAACATATTACGTCAGAATGATTTTAAACGACGTCTATGTGGGTTTCGTTGAAAAATAAGGACCGCACCCTTCCTGTTCCGTTTAGCTAAACACAGAGCAAACTTCAAGAAGTTATCGGATATTGAGTCCTGGCCTAACCAAGGCTCAAACCTAAAGAAGGGTCTGCATGATCATGGCAGGGCCGGTGTTAGGGCCCGCTCTACCGTACCTCCTTGCCCATCCAAATAAAATATAAAAATATTGATAATTATTTGACCGAGACCGAAAGACCCATCAATCTCAGATAAAGAATCCGAGTTAGCGAAACAGTGCCCCTCTGTCTCAGTATGTGTAAACAATGTATCTGATTCTGTCTGGACCAAAAGAGTATGGCATGTCATACTATTTCTGGCCAGACAGCATCAGATACATGGGCAACATATAGGATGCTGGCTTCCCCTAAACTATTTACTAGGGATCCCCCTTACTAGGGATGCCCCCTACACTTCCTGGGGTCCAAACATATTTAGGCACTTACATTACACATAAAACAGAAGATAAAACAGTTCATCATACAACATTATTACACCACTACATATCTACAATACAAAATGTATAATACCACCATACAACAATATTACAAGGTACGTGTGTGCTAGTGTTTGTGTGTGTATGCGTGCATCTGTTTCAGTGTGTGTGCCTCTTCACGGTCCCCGCTCCATAAGGTGTATTTTTAAATCTGATTCTACTGCTTGCATCAGTTACCTGATGTGGAATATAGTTCCATGTAGCTATGGCTCTATGTAGTACTGTGTGCCTCCCATAGTCTGTTCTTGACTTGGTGATTGTGAAGGGACCTCTGGTACCATATTCAGCTTGTCAACTGTTACGTTCTCCCCTCGGGTGTAGTTCGTCTGAGGAGACGTACAGTGGGGGAAAAAAGTATTTAGTCAGCCACCAATTGTGCAAGTTCTCCCACTTAAAAAGATAATAATAATAATAATAATAATAATATGCCATTTAGCAGACGCTTTTATCCAAAGCGACTTACAGTCATGCGTGCATACATTTTTGTGTATGGGTGGTCCCGGGGATCGAACCCACTACCTTGGCGTTACAAGCGCCGTGCTCTACCAGCTGAGAGAGGCCTGTAATTTTCATCATAGGTACACGTCAACTATGACAGACAAATTGAGAATTTTTTTTCCAGAAAATCACATTGTAGGATTTTTAATGAATTTATTTGCAAATTATGGAGGAAAATAAGTATTTGGTCAATAACAGAAGTTTCTCAATACTTTGTTATACCCTTTGTTGGCAATGACACAGGTCAAACGTTTTCTGTAAGACTAAATACTTTTTTCCCCCACTGTAAATGCCTGTGCCTGCGCACTGTCAAATTGCGTCAATTCAAAATCTGGTATAGGAACAAAAAGAGGTCAATACACGTCTTTTAAGATATACTAGTATTTTAATTAATGCAAACACTTGAATGGTAAATATGATGTTCGTATATACAGGCCCACTGAAAAACCACGCAGGGCAGACAGAGAACTAACTTTTTCAACCCAAGGTTCTTCTTTAATACTCTGACAGAGATAATTCCTGCTCCAGGCTGGGCCTGTCAGAGTAGAGGCTCGGTGTGGTTTAAACTTACCCAACCTATCGTTGGCGCACAGGCTGGTCCCAGCCTCTTGGCGCATCCCTGTTGCCAGGTGTTAGTTGTTTCTGTTGCAGTACACATGTCCTTGAGTGGTTTAACAAAGAGGCAGTGTGTGTGAGTCACAAGTCTCTCAGCCTACCCCCTAACGGTTCCTCACATTAATCACAGCTTGTTATGTTAAACAATCTATATCAGTACAGCACAAACCTATTATGTTTAATCATTAATGTATTCTTTCTAAGCTAGGCATCACATCTAGTTGTAAGAGAATAGATTCCCACAGCACACAAGGTAAACTAGATGGATGGGGAAGAAATGTGGGGTGTAACTAACTAAAATAACCAGACACAACAACCAGAAGTCAATGTTAGCCCTCTGGGGTTGTTTAGTAAAGTTTTAAACAAAAGAATATACAACACCTATAAAGAAACTGTAATAAAACAAAGACCAATCAAACAAACCAGGGAAGGTAAGAGAATGGAATATTTGGGAACGGGGTCCAAGTAATGAAAATAAATAAAAGGTCCCTCCTCTACACACCTAATCCTTCCTAACACACTCTAAGCCTTAACCAGCTTTCCTACCTGTTACCATAAATACAGGGGTGACACCCGCCCGGCTAACCTAGTGTGTAAAACAATGGGTTATATATGTGTGAATGTACACCCATGGGCAGAACTACCCTTCCCTTCTCCAGGACCCAGGTAGGGTGGAATACAGCAGGAGGACAGGCTGAAACACAAACAAAGATATATCAAAACAACCAATAACCAACTCCTCAAACAAAAAGTGCCCCCTCTATCTCTCTCGAGGTCACACGTTCTACAGTTTATACTCTAGTCAATCAGTCACTCAACCACAGCTGCCAGCACTCCGAACCGAAGCCATGCCCACCATCGTCAGCCGCAACTCAGCACACCTGTAATAACGAGAACACACACACAGAACAACCACTCTAAACCACACACACACACACACTACAAAATAAAATTGGGAGAAAGAAAAACATGTCACACGTAACATCAACACTTCTTACAAAAACAAGTAGTGATGAAGTCAATCTCTGCTCCACTTTGAGCCATTGACATATATATATCATTAATGTTAGCTCTCCGTGTACATTTAAGGGCCAGCCATGCTGCCCTGTTCTGAGCCAATTGTAATTTTCCCTCTTTGTGGCACCTGACCACATGACTGAACAGATTGCTTTGCCACAATTATATAATTACTACTATCTAAATAAAAACATTCAAAATACTTTACCAGAGAGCATGACTTGGCCACAGAGGATCATTAGCTTCTTTAAAAAAAATAGCTGTTGATTGTTTCAAATCACAAGTGTGCCTACTTGGGCGTGGCAATGTGTCTAGCTGATTGAGTTGTCAGTGAAAAGCATATAAACTATGTGTGAAGATAATGTGTCTTGAGTATACATTTTCATGTTACTACAAAAATAAGCTATGAAATAACACATGGAATCATGTAGTAACCAAAAAAGTGTTAAACAAATCAAAATATGTTTTAGATTTTAGATTCTTCAAAGTAGCCATAAATCCTTCAAAGTAGCCACCCTTTGCCTTGATGACAGCTTTGCACACTCTTGGCATTCTCTCAGCCAGCTTCACCTGGAATGCTTTTCCAACAGTCTTGAAGGAGTTCCCACATATGCTTAGCACTTGTTGGCTGCTTTTCCTTCACTCTGCCGTCCAACTCATCCCAAACCATCTCAATTAGGTTGAGGTCGGGGGATTGGAGAGGCCAGGTCATCTGATGCAGCACTCCATCACTCTCCTTCTTGGTCAAATAGCCCTTACACAGCCTGGAGGTGTGTTGGGTCATTGTCCTGTCGAAAAACAAAATGATTGTCCCACGAAGCGCAAACCAGATGGGATGGCATATTTCTGCAGAATGCTGTGGTAGCCATGCTTGTTAAGTGTGCCTTGAATTCTAAATACATCACAGAGAGTGTCACCAGCAAGACACCATCACACCTCCTCCTCCATGCTTCACGTTGGGAACCACACATGCAGAGATCATCCGTTCACCTACTCTGCATCTCACAAAGACACAGCGGTCAGATTCCAGACCAAATTTGGATTCTAGACCAAAGGATAGATTTCCACCGGTCTAATGTCCATTGCTCGTGTTTCTTGGCCCAAGCAAGTCTCT